TCGTTACTAGAACGCCTCTCGTCGAAAGACGGAGACTCGGGTCTATCGGAATCAGAAGTCATTGGGAAGAAAGAAAAATTCAAGATCCGGCGAAGAAGGGTTTTGGTGAAGGAACGAAGAGAGAGGTTTTGATTAAAGTACAAAAGTAAAAGAAGAGAGTAATGGTGAAAAGAAGTTACCTCAAGCTAATGATGAAACCGCCTCGGAAGTCGTGTGGGAAGTGGGAAGGTTTTTCCCGTTTTAATAGTAATTAATCAATATACGGTCATAATGATGACAGATGTCACTCGGTTAAAAATGGCTATTTCCGAAATTAAAGGAGTGATGGGATTTTCGGCGGGAAATCATAAAGATTCTCGAGCGCAATCTTTGGCCACTTGAGCATTTAAAGTCCTCCGAATTGGAATAGCACTTCGAAGAACTTGGGGGGCTAATTGTTGGTGTCGGATCCCGCACCAGAAGTACGAGACCAACCAAAGATTGCCACGTAATCAGGGTAATGGCCCATAAAGGATGAAGCCCATTGGACCCGTGAGCCGAAGGGATGTTCGAAATGGTTGTTACCATTTCGAGAATCCGAAGTGACTGCACTGTGACACGAGTTCAATGAAAAAGGCATGGGTAAGTCGGTTCAAGGACACTTGGGCCAAAAGAGGCGAGGCCCATGAAGATCAGAGTCAACTCAAATTCAAACGTTGAGCATTAAAGCCGAAGAATCAAAACGGACACATTTAAGAAGAAATAATTGTGCTTAATTACTCATTTTAATGTCGTTTATTTATGTATAAATATAGAGGCCAATGGCCATGTAAAGGGGATCTTCCTCTCAAGAGAGAAATGCTATAGCAATTTTCGTATCAATTTATAAGTTTTTTACATATTTATTTTTGTCCCTCAAGAATAATCTTTCCCACTTAACAAAATACTTGAGTGTGTGAATCCGACTTCCACAGTATGCAGTTGATTGATTAATAAAATTAAAGAGCTTGAGTAATACGGCGCTATAAGATC